TGAATTTTTTGCTTTTGATACCGAGCTAATCCTATATTAGTGCTGAACGCCGCGATGAGCTGCCGGTGACGAACGTATGGAAGGTCTTTGATTAGAAAAGAAGAGATTGAGATATTTTTCTCGGTCGCTAGGACCTGTGCTGATACTTGAAACAACTACCTAGCGAAGTTGCTTCATCGGGGACTGGCATATGATTGTAAGACTAATGTGTTTAGAAATGTAACGTTCATAACGTAAAACCATAAAGTAGTTCATAGCCAAAGTTTGAACGGTAAATCTTCTTATAGGCTAGAGTATACAAGTTAAGACTGTTTTGAATGGATCATAGGAAGAATCGAGGGGATAATAACGTTGTCATGACAGCAGCTTGTGTACTAAGTTATCATCTCTGGTATTCTATCATTAATGTGTGCACTGCATTTATTTCGATAAAATTTTATTAACATGTCAAACAGGCGAATTACATTCGACAGGTGAACGCAGTTCATGCGATGATATACCTACGTAGAACATGAAACATTACTTATAACAGTACAAGATGACTCATACGCTTGAGTAAGGCATCCTGGTAAGCGTGTTGCATAGGAAGTACATCAACTTCTGCGTTTTGTACGCATACTGGGTTGCTGGCCGAGTCGGGGCTGGGCTGTTTTCCGCCCTTTTTCTAAATCCTAAACGTAAAGTGTCTGAGAAGCAGTTGACAATGAGCACTGAACATTTGAACCTCATTAAATGTTTCTAATTTACTGCCCACATCACAGAATTAAGAATATAATTACGATTCCCTTCTATTTCCATGATACTTAGTGTTAAAGAGTGTGAAATCGATCACAGGCGAGCATTCGTAATGTCGTTGTATCCCAGTATGATATTTTGTTGATTTTAGTTCCCATGTTTTGTGCTCGATGAAACTTCGCCGTCATCCTATATCGGACTCTGAGGGGATCTTCAACAGAATCGTAGGCTAATAAAGAATGTGGCACATGAGACATAGCAAGATTAAATAAAGAACTTTGAGTGATTACCAATTATTTTGCTGAGCTGCTTCCGGTGCTTTTGCCCAATTGTGTATAAAGCCTTCGCAAATAGTTCCAATAAAGCATGTGTTGCACTTTCAGGGTCGAAGACGTAGTTTGAATGCCTCAAGCCTGGGAAGAGATCTTCATTGTTCTGGTCTTCGTCCAACAACCACTTTATATCTTTCGAAAGCTCTACAAACGAAGAAACCAATAGGACTTAGGCTTTGTTGAAAAGCAGTGCAAAACGGATTAAACAAACACAACGCGATGTAGTAGGTCTGTCGAGGGTAGTCCAGCAGAGACTCTCGTCCCTTATCTCGCAGGTCATGTTAAAGGTAAGGTGGTTGGCTGCTTGTCGATGACCACAATGCCGTGTGAACTCAAAAAGACTGGCTTTCTTTTACTTATTAGGCTATGCTTTAGCGTGAGAAGTAGCTTGGTGGTAAC